ATGCAACGCAACGCGTAAAAAGACAGTACAAATCATTATAATCAGTAATTATGTCCCCACTGGATGCTATAAATGCCTCGTTTGTAATGGGTTTTATTGGTTTTGTCTCGTCGCTCCGGGACACGGCAACACAATATGTTAAGGGACGTAACATTTCCGTCAAACGCGTGAGGTATTCGGCCAATCACAACACACTGGACAGCTGGCCAATCAGAGCACACCTCGCTTTTCAGACCGATGAGCTTTGTAAAAATTGACGCGTTTCAGAAAGGCAGGGCATAGAGGAGAAACAATAATGTACAGTATGTGGAAAATAATGTGTTTTTGAACCTTAAACCACATAAACACATTTCATTACACCAAATAATGTTCTTTTTAGCAACATCATATGACCCATTTAAGTAAATAACATTTACAATTAACAACAATTAGCTAATATTAATAATATTACAATTAATAACAATTAACTAAATAACAATTACACACTGTGTCAACCAGACTATGACTTAAAACCCATCTTCTCTCATACACATTCAGTATGACATCATATCACTAACCTGACTGAAACAGAATGACATCATACCTTCCAACCCGGCAGTATACTCAGCCAGCTGCTTCCTAACAGCGCAAGCCGTCCAACCGGCCTAGCGTGGAAAAGTGGCAGCAATTTAACACCTTTATCACTGTCTACAGCCCTCCTGAGATAAGCGTTCCATAGACCGATAGTTTGTGCAAGACAGAGGATGGTGAGCTAAGAAGACAAAAACAGGCAGCAGCGGCAGTTGAGGCATTAAATCGCAGATGAGGGGGAAAAAAAGAAACGTTTTCAGACAATCTTCCCCTGAACAGCCACACAGGCTCTGCTGTATGTCTCCACAACACTGCAGTCTCCAGACCTCCCTCTCTCTCCCTCTCTCTCTCTCTCCCCGTCTAGATCAATACAGATTCCTGCTTCTGCTGTATCACGGCAAGCCAAGTACTGAGTCACTGATCAAGGGACAGCATGAGCCCTGAAAATGCTAAAGCTGACAGTGAGTTTGCAGTTCCCAGAACAGCTGCAACCTGTAATCTGAATGATCTAATGCAGAGCTTTATTCTTAGTAGTACATCCAGAACTGTGCTCACATCCTCAGAGGCCGTATGCACAACCAAAAAAGACACGGGATGCACAGGACACTAGCATACATCCTCTTTAAAATGTCTTCTGGATAACACATTTCAAGAAGTGTTGCATTCACAGTTGCATTTAACAAATCTGTAAACTGAAACAAAACAAAACATACCTTAATGTAATTTTTATTGAAGCTCGTATGCCATATTTACAGTAAATGTATTTGTAATTACACATTTTGTAAGGATTAGGTTGCAATTTAGTAAAATTTGAAATATATGAACTTTAAATGTAATATTAAATAACACTACAGTATTTCAGTCAACACATCAAAATACTGTAAGTGTACTTCTTTTAAGCATGGCAAAAGATTATTAATGATGATTTCAAATGTACTTTAAAGCAAAACTTTTACTATACATCCTCTATACAATGTCTTCAATGTCAATGTCATGAGTTACACTCACAGTCATATTTACCAAAACTAATTAAGAGTCTCACCGTTCAGTACAAGAGGAGCTGCAGGTTTGACTCTCATTTGACAGTTTACCACTTGAGGTCGGCCGGTCCGCTTCGCTGTGCGCTGACGGGCCGCAAGCTTAGTAATGTGGGTCATCTCGTTTCCTGTGGTAGCGTGGCACACCACCTATGGGTTTTTAACCATTTAAAGTTTTAGTATTCACATATACCTGCTGAATTACTGAATTTAAAAACGTAAGAGAGAGACTTACCTCCCGAGACTGCCCTTTATCCAGTTTCACGACTGAAGGCATGCTGTGCAGGAGGGCATCCAGCGTGGCATACCCCAACTGTTTATAAGGTATGAGCTCACCTGTCAGGTCTTTATACTCTACCTGCAGGTTAGACAGTGACACGCCACTCTTGCTGGACTGCAGCACCGCCCTTACCATCTTTTTCACCAGTTCCTCATCCGCCATCTGAAAAACAACAAGAAGTAATGGTGTTGGATCTGGTCTGGAGACACTACTGTTCAAAAGTTTGGGTTGGTAAGATATTTAATTTTTTTTTAAAGAAGTCTCTTATGTTCAACAAGGCTGCATTTATTTGATTAAAATATAATAAAAACAGTGATATTGTGAAATATTATGACAATTTAAAATAACTGTTCTGCATATATTTTGCATTGTATTTTATTGTATTATTGTATATGTATTTTATTTCTGTGATGGCAAATAAGCCATTACTCCAGTCTTCAGTGTCACATGATCCTTCAGAAATCATTCTAATATGCTGATTTGGTGCTCAAGTAATATTTCTTCTCATTATCTATTGAAAACAGTTGTGCTGCTTAATATTTTTGTGGAAACCAGTACACTTTTTTTTTCAGGATTCTTTGACTCTTTGAAAGTTTAAAAGAACAGCGTTTGAAATTGTTCATACCAATTTAAAAGTCTTTACTCTGAATTTAATCCACTCTGTCTGAACGAAAAGTATTAATTTCTTCTGTAAAAATCAATTTTACTGACCCCAAATTTTTGAATGGCAGTGTACCTTTACACTTGATACCAATAAAACAATTTTGCACCAACAGATCATTGTAAAGCCACATTGGCAGAATAAATGAGGCTAGGTGGTCAGAGGTCACACTTGACTGTTAATGGGTTTATGAGTCCTACACTGATCTCCTCTATGTTGAAGAGTGTTATTGATTACAACACATAGAAAGCTACTGGACATCAATGACCATATCTGATAGCTCACAAACAGTTAAATGTGTTTAGAATAGATCTCATCAAGTCTTGTTTATCCAAACTAACCAATGGCAAATAAGAGTATGTAACTGCCGTACTACTGGCATTTCATGTCATCTTATTCTTGGTATGGGCATAGTGGTATTGCTGATGTGACTAATGAATTGAGCAAAGCACACTAGCCGGTCACAACCAGACAGTTAAAGCTGCACAAATGGATCATGACATAACACATTGTTTATTCTTTTTATGGCCAGTAAAAATGGCTTATGTTCAAGAAAGCAAGAGCCAACACCAGCAGTTTAAATCAGGAAGTATCCATAGAGACCACATTCAAACCCCTGTGAAAGAGAAATACACTTTAGCATACTTTTAAAAAAGAGTATTATTATGAAAATAATATACTTTAAAAGAATATATTTAAGTGCGAACTGAATGTAATGTTTTCAAACACTTAACTGCATATAAACTGCATAATTATAGTTTCAATTTATACTAAATACAATTAGCTCAACTTTAGAGTGCTTTTTTGGCCCACTTGAGCAGGATTTACAGTAAGTAGGCTAAAGCTTTATATGTAATTTCATAATTACTTCTATTATCTTTGAAATATTGTTAAAGTATTCAGCTGAAGTCTTCTGTACTGACAAGAATTTGTGTTAAATATACTTTAAAGTCATTTTTATTGAAACTTGTATGTTTTTAAATATATTTGTAATGATTAAATTGCAATTTAGTACATTTAAAATAAGTTAACTTTGGAATATTAACAAACAGTTCAAACTATTATCAAGTACATTACATGTGCTTTAGTACTGCATGTTAGTCAACACATTAAAAGAAGTGTACGGGTAACAACATGAACGAACAATGAACAATACATTTATTACAATATTTGTTAATGTTAGTTAATGAAAATACAGTTGCTCATTGTTAGTTCATGTTAATTGACAGTGCATTAACTAATGTTAACAAACACAACTTTTGATTTTAATAATGCATTATTAAGCATCCATTTTGACAAGTGCCTTTTTTAAAAGTGTACTTAAGTGCCTTTAGAAACATAGTCATGAAAGTAACTTTAAGTATAGGTAAGTGGCCTTTTATTTCATAAATATTATATTATCTGCAAGTACAGTTTTTTTAAGTACACTACAGATGCACATTCAATAGTGTAACAAACAGCTACCCAACTTTTGCAATTAATGCAAACCTTAACCCATAATGTCAATCACTTGTTAGCATGTCATTATATCACACATATTTCATTACAATTTCTGTATTATCTTCTATTACTTAATAGTGGTGTACACATTTAAGCGACAATTTTAATGCATGTGCATTTCATAAATAAATCTCCTCTGTGACTGAATAAGTCCATAAGGCCCCTTTTTGCATACAATCACATCACAACTAATGCATTCCTCCACAAACTATTTGTTGTGGTACTACAGGTGTTTAGGAAAGTGCTGTATAGTGTTTTTGATGGCAAGTTGTCCTTAAGGAGAAAATTACATCTAATGTATTTATAGTGCAATATTTACCCCAAAAAAAGGGTCAAAATGATCTGAAGAAACCAGATCAGTTAAATAGGGTTGAGTATGCCTCTAATAAATGTCCTACTAAATCACGAAGGTAACTGACATTTCAGGTCAAGTACTGTAGTGACAGCAGTGTCATACAGTATAATAATTCATCGAAAACTACTTTAAGCAGCCATAAATAGGACTGCAATATTTTATTGTTGCGACCTTCCGTGTTATGTCAACACACCTGAAGCACAATGTGAGCATCTATGGCATGAAATGAAAGAGAAAGTAATGAGAATTGGCATTTCAGCGCTCGTGTGCACTACACGTTTAGAAAGTTGACGAGCTGTTTTCAGGACAGGTAAGAGACACACCCTTTATCCTGGACAACATTTTACGACGGTCGCCATCAAAAACACTTTATAGCTGTATTTTACACAGCTCTTTTATAGTCAGACGACTTTATTTAGGTGAGGTTAGATGTAAATTAGTGTATTTACAGCAGGATAGTTGACACAATGAGCATGCATCATATTTACAGTGTAACGTTACGTGTAAGTAACACCGGCCAACTAACTACTGTTGCGAGACTTATCCGCTCCCTCCGGCCATGAACTCCCAAATATCTCACTATAAACATCTTTTAAATGTGTATGCAGAGGTTTTATTTTACTGATTTGAACCGGGTGATTATTCGCAGTCTGTTTAGTTCACTGTCAATCAAAGTTACAGTAGTAGCTCTAAACTGACACTCATACGCGTCTATCTCTTCCACCAAAGCCGCTTAACTTAGATATAAAGCGGTGAGTTCAGATACTTTCACAGTAGTGTCTCAGGTCTTACCGCTCAATGGATGTGGGTCGGTCAGACCGGTTTAGGTGACAGTGACTGGCTCTGTGACACTGGTCGCAGTGCCCTCCTCGCGGTCTGTCAGAGCTGCGCACCATCCCATCAGTAATCACACAGAACGCGCATGCGCACTGCGCACCATCCCATCAGTAATCACACAGAACGCGCATGCGCACTACACACACACACAGCATAAGCAGGTACATAAGACTACTGCTGTACTACGTCCTTTACTGTGGTTTTACCAACATTCAAATGCTTCGTTTTCGCAGCATCTCGTTCCCTATTCAGGGAACCAAGGTTACATACGTAACAGAGATGTTTTCTACACTCAATAGGCCCACATAGAGATCAGTAAAAACATGCACTGCAAAAAGTGACTCTTTACCTAATTACTGCAGAAAAATAGAGAATCGATGCGTAGTTGTCAATATCAACTATTTAAACGATTCTGAGCCTATTATTTCTAATCCTAATTTAATGTTAAATTGCTTACCAAACCATATTTTAGCATAGTTTTGCACTGACTGTTCTATCAGAACAGCCAGCAGGTGGATTTCTCGATTTCAATGTTGCAAACTAATGAAGTTTCCACCAGAGGGCGCTTGGGTTCAAAATCCCGAATCTCCATTGAGCATTGTTCAAACCTGAGGCATTCATTCATTCATTCGTTCATTCATTCATTTCATTTCATTTGAACACTAAAAATGTAATCACTTCAATATTTTAATTACAAATAAGCTAAGAAGTTAATAGTAATCCAACTCTTAAAAACTAATTTAAACTGCCTTGTCCAGTATGTTACATGATTGTGATTGAGTCTGGATAATCACTTATATTTAAATAATGACATTGATAAACGTCAAAACCTACTGACTTTAAAATATAAAGTGAAAAAAAAAAAAATCATCAACCAGATACTCGATTAGGCTAATAATAACAGCCATTCTACCACAATCTGACCTGTTTGTTTGTTTTCTTTGTCCATAGAATACCCTCGTTCATTCTGTTCTCGCATGTTATTCTGTTGGATTAACTATTAGCCTATTAACTATTTTAAACTATTCTCATTTATGATCATGAATGCTTGCAAAGTGTCAAAACTTTGGTGTGTTTGTGGAACGTGCATACAAAATTTCTATTATGATTGTGATGTTTACAGGCAACTACACAGACCAGTGTATTGTGTTATGTCAGTTTCTCAACTTCCCTATGAGGGTATTCACAATTACATTAGACAGACATTTGTATCTGAGGAAACGTACACTGCATTGATCAGTACATATTCAGTTCACTGAGAGTGAGAATTGAACCCATGATCTTATAGCGTAGCGATGCACTAGTGTTTGAGCATCAGGAAAGCACACAGAAGTGCTTTCCCACATTTATTCGTTTAAAATGTTAAAGTTTTTCAAAACAAATGTTTAAAAAATAATTACAATACTTTTCATAATATTCACAAGTAATGAACAAAAAAAAATGTTAATAAAATAGTTCATTTTAAAAATCATATGTTCATGTGTTTATTTTATAATGTGCGCAAAAGCACTGAAAATTGGTTTTGGCAGTAAGCATTTTTGTTAACCTTGCCACGCACAAGTTTGAGTAGGCCTATAATAAAAGGGTTTTAAAACTCCACATAATTACACATAATACAAGGGTTTTAAAGGGGTCATATGATGCTTTTTTAAAGATCATTATTTGGTGTAGTTGGTGTAACAGAATATGGTGACATGC